CTACTGGTTTCAAAAAGCAAGGTGTGAGTGGTTAGCCTATGGAGATCGAAATACAAATATTACCATGCTACGATAGTGGTAAAGGAGGACAACTACAGTAGATATATTAAAGGATGATTAGGGGGATTGGCATGATGAAAATAGCATAATGTGTTCCCTCATTTTTTTCCTATTATAAGAAGTTATTTACAGAAGAGGATGTATCTACTAAGGTGGCTTTAAATCATGGATCTTTCCCGTGTGTTTCATATGATCTTATGCAGCAGTAGCACACTGTAGTTTCAGACCTGGAGATAAAAGAAGCTTTGTTCAATATGCAGCCGTACAAGGCTCCTAGGTTGGATGACATTCATGCTGCTTTCTACCAGTCACAGTGGCATATTGTTAGGAAATTTTTATATAGGTACATCCAACAATTTTTCAGGCATGAAATCTGGGATACTAAATTGGCTAAAGATCTGTTAGTCCTGATAGCAAAAGTGGATGTCCCTAAGATGGCCAATCAATTCCACCTTATTGGCCTATGCAATGTATCTTATAGGGTGCTAACGAGAGGTCATTGTTACTAGGCTAAAACCTATTCTCCCCTCGGTCATTGCTCCTACATAGGTAAGCTTTATTTTGGGAAGGAAAATTACGGACAACATCATCTTCGCGCAAGAAGTCATACATTCCATGAACAAGAAGAAAGAGAAGAAGTGATAGATGACAATAAAGGTAGATCTAGAAAAAGCTTATGATAGGCTCCTTTGGGGGGTTTATGTTGGACGCGTTACTAGATTTACGGTTGCCTCGCCCGTTATGTTCATTAATTATGAAATGCTGTCCTCGGCTAAAATAGAAGTGGCTTTCAATGGGTTGAACACGGAGGCTTTCAAATCAACCAAAGATATCCGTCGGGGTGATCCGTTGTCTCTTTATCTTTTTGTGCTTTGCATGGAGAGATTGAGTCATCTTGTTCAAAAGGTCTGTTTCAAAGAATAAATGGAGACCAATTTACTTAAGCAAAGGAGGACCACCTATTTCACATTTATTCTTTGTAGATGACTTGATTTTTTTAGCGTAGCAGCAGAGTGATCGGTTGAATGTCATGCTAGAGGCTCTCGATAGATTTTGCTTAGCCTCAAGTCGAAGGTTAATGTGTCTAAGACTTGGCTATTTTGTAGTCATAATGTACCAAGAGGGAAAGCCGATTACTCAACAAGCAATTAGGGTTTCAACCGACGGAGGATTTAGGAGTGTGTTTTATAGGTGCACCTTCATCATAACCGAGTCAATAAGAATACTTATGCATATTTAGTGGAGAAAGTTTGTAAGAGGTTATCAAGTTGGAAGGCTAAATAGTTGACACTTGCGTAAAGAGTAACTTTAACACAATCGGTGCTTGTTGTCATCCCAATCTATAACATGCGGACCACTCATCTACTAGCAACAACCATAAAGGCTATTGAAAAACTATGTAGAGACTTTGCTTGAGGTAGTTCAAACAGCTATCGGAAAACTCATCTCATCTCTTGGGATAAAAATCTATCAGCCTAAGAAGCATGAGGGGGCTTGGGTTGCATAAGTTGACGAGTTGTGAATAATGCCTTGCCGATGAAAATGGGATGAAAAATCATGTCCGCAAATTCTTCCTACTAGGTGAGTATTTTATGCGGTAAGTATAAGGTCAATATGCAACAAAGACCTTCTATCTTGCGGGTTGGTTGCTCCAAAATGTGGAGAGGAATATCCAAAGTCCGGGTTGATATGTGGAAATATATTGGATGGTTATTGGTGATGGTCGGAATATTGGACGAGACAACTAGATCTCTTCAATTAGCCCTCTAAAAAACCATGCCTTAATGTCCTTAGTTGCTCGAGTTCACCATGAACAAGGTTGGAGAATATGTCACGAGTATGGAGCAATAGATGTGGGAGAGTTTTAAAATTTTCTTCCAAATGAAATTTGTTTGAAAATTACAAGTATGCCTCCGCTAGTTCCATCGCAAGAGGAAGACATGACATTTTGAACCCTAACCGGTAATGGGTTATTTTCCGCAAAGTTAGCCTATGAAGCCGCTCAACTAGTGAATACTAATAGCTATGTAAACTAGGATTTGGTGTGGAGATGGAAAGGACTTCAACGCATTCAAACTTTTTTATGGCTTGCAATTCATGGAAAACTTCTCACCAATTTGCAAAAAATGCAAAGAAACTAGACATCAAATCCTTTTTGTAACCAATGCCATACCGGTCGAGAAACCATTACTCATGTTCTAAGAGATTGTCCTACTGCAGGCTATTGTTTGGAATGGAGTGGGAGCGAGGAATATGGTTAATTGTTTCTTCTCTCTTGATCTTGAGGAATGGTTCCGTACAAACTTAAAGAAAACTAATTCTGCTGGTTCAAAAGTAGTGGCTTGGAGCACTTGGTTTGGAGTTGGTTCGTTGGTTTATTTGGTATTGGAGGAATAAATTTATTTTTTATGAAAACTTCTTTATGCCTAATAGGCCAATTGAAGTCATTCATGCATTTTTTAATAATATTGATGCTAGTTTTGAGATGAATGATGGGTAAATCAGACCTAATGGGAGAAAAGTAGAAACTCGATTGGATAGGTCAAACCACGAGTAGGTTGGGTGAAACTTAATACGGATGGTGCTATTCGAAAATCAATTAGAGTTGTTATAGCTAGGTAAGTCCTTAGAGATGATACGAGAACTTGGTTACATAGGTTCTCGTATGGGATAAGAATTTGTACTATCTTATATGTAGAACTTTGGGGTATTGTTGTTGGTCCGGAAATGGCTTGAAAACCGAGATATCGACAGATTACTTTGGAATCGGACTCCTTAACTACAATCAATTTATTACTCGTCTTCGAAGGGTCATAGTGGCTAGTATCATCGGTTGACCTTTACCATTCTTGGTTTTCTTAATAAACCTTGGCAAGCGCAGAGTTAATCACATTTTTAGAGAAACCAACCGGGTGGTTGACTAGCTTGCATCGTATACATACTCTCTTCCTTTAGGTATTTTATTTTTACAATATGCTCCAGGTAGAATGTTGTAACCTCCTTCGAAAGAATGTTTGAGGAGTTTCTTTTCTTGGTTTTTGTAACAGTATGTGTACTGCTTAGAGCTTAGCATCTCCCTTGAATCAAAAGAAAAAAAAGTTATTCTATTATTTTTTTTCATATCAACTTTGCACATTACATTTTCATCATCTTTAAATATTTCCATTAGTTGGTGTTATTAATGAAGGTAAAAATTAACATGTGTTGTGTGCTCGAAACTTGATTTATTTGCTAATGTACAATTTGATCTTTGAATTTAATGAAAATTTCACTATGGTCCATATATATTATATTGTTGACTAAAAGTTCTTAATTTGATTTTTTTTTCATTGTATTTTACGATAATATATAATTTAGTCCATAAATAATTTTTTAAATATTAAGTCTCTACATGTCAAATTGTAAATATAGTAAATATTAGTTACATAATTTAAACGGATTGATATGCAAGTTAAGAATTAAGTTGATTTAAATAGATATGTCTATATATATATATATATATATATATAAAGAATTTTCTTTTGTTGTTTCAATTCATTTTCTGATTTAAACCTAAAATGGTTGAGACAAAAAATTAATAAAATAAAAGAACAAAAAAAGAAATCAAATATATATTATGGGAATATTTTCTCCTTTTTTTTTTTTTTACTAATTTAAATGAGTAAATCTATTTAAATCCATTTAACTCTTACCTTATCCATCAATCCATTTACATTATTTGACTAATTTTTACTACGTTTATGATTTGATATAGGGATTTAATTTTAAAAATCCACTAAAAAATTAAATTGTATTTTACTATAAACTATGATGACCAAAAACTTTCAATTCAGGACTTACTTGTAAGAAAAAATATAATACAAGGACCAAAGTAAATTTGGAAGAAATCTTAGAAACCAAAATGTATATTAGCGAATAATTCATGCTGTGAGCACTCCACTCATATCAATTTTTAACGGATTTACTGATCAAAAGATGTAAAAATAACGAAAATATGATATACAGGTTAAATATTAAGACAAAAAAATAAAATAAAAAATAAAGAACCTTTAAAACAAAAAAGAAAGAACATAAAAAGGTAGGAAAGCAAAGTAATCAAAACTTGGAAAAACCCATCTCTGGGTTTTATTTTTGGCTTTTGAAATGAAATGGAGAGACGACATTGGCAACCAAAACAAATTGCCATGGTCCACGCCCAAAAAAACGAGACAAAATTCATAGACCAACATCGAAGTTTTAAAACCCGTCAGTTAAAAACTAAGTTATTTAAAAAGAAAAAAAAATGCTAATTGCGTTTGGTATGAGGTGAAGTTTTAAGAACGTTTGATTGGAACTAGAAAATTATTATAAATAATAGCAGATACTAATAAAAATAAAATAAAATTTAATTAAATGTAATTGTTAAAAATAAATAAATAATACATATTTGTAGTCTAAGCTTTTGAGGTTGAAGGCTAACCTCCATAAATTCCCCCTCCCTGAATTTTGTACCAAACATAAGTTAAAAAAGGTGAAAAATTACAAGAATAACTTCACCTCCATGATGCCCTGTATATATATATATATATATATATATAAACCACAAACAACTGAGATTATGAGTTAAGAACACACATACATATATAACTGAGTTTGTTACTACTATGTACGTAAATTTTAGATCTAAACTCAACCAAAACTGAAAAATCGAATGCCTTTCAGTTGAACTCAAAAATAACATTCCTGCTATTGGGTCGGAACATAGGATATTTACTACAGAATCCCGACAGCTTGTGCCAAAGGCCAAAAGCCTACACTTTTTTTTTTTTTTTTAACTTCAAAATCCCAACCACCGGCTCACATCCCTTTCACAATATATTATGGCATTCTGCCCAATCACATATAGAGAGTTGAAAATAAAAAATCAGAATGAAAGGAGAAACTGGAATTCCTACTATACATTAAACCAATATGCCAGTAAGAGTCACGTTAGCATCGAAATCGCTACCATTTGATTCAGTATGGTTTATGCGAGTTATATTGTTGTTCCCATCAGATGCTTCCCTCTGCAAGCTACTACGCTTGCACCAACACAAATACTGAGGAATCGGCCCATCATCCCCAATAACCCAGGCATGATTTGAAACCGCATCCAGTGTCATCCTCTGAGCTGGGTCTTTACAGGACAAGTTTCAAGTCAAAACAGGATATGTGTGGGGTAAAAATAAAAGGAAACATGCTTACACAATAGGGGATCTTGCAAAGCCTACACCCTAGATGGAAAGGCCAAATGTTGACAACAAATAGATTTTACTCACCTTTGCAAAGAAGTCCCTCAAGCAAGTCCTTCAGCTGAGAGTTCATTTCATCAGGGAGCACTAATGGGTTGTTGACGATCTGGGGAAGGACAAAAAAAAACACAAAAAACACTTGTTTAGAAATTTATAAAGCACAGGCTCAAATAAGCCAACTCACGAAAGGTAGATAAAATGGAAATGTAAGTTCATTTGCTTGCCTTGTCATATGTATCCTGAAGTGTTTCTCCAAGAAACGGGTATTGCCCAAGTATCATACAGTACAAAGTCACTCCCACTGCCCATGTGTCTGCAGCTTTGCCATGGTAGGTTAGACCTGTTGGATCATAAGTCAAATCCAGGCACAGATGTAAGCAGATCCCATGTCCTATTAGCTTAAGCATTACAGATTTCTCAGCTAAGAAAAACACCTACCCAGACAACACTCAGGTGCAGTGAAAACAGGAGTCCCAGGAGATCTGCGAAGCTCATCATTATCATTCTGCAGAACCAGATCAGGCAGTTAGAAAAACAAAAATGCTTCCGACACAGAGGAAAAGACTGTAAGATGTGTAATATCACAATACCCATCTCTTGTCTGCACATAGCAAGAAATAATTTTACTATTCTAAGGTGCTGGACCAGAAAATATGCACACATCTGATAGTACTCATTCTTTCTGTATGACCTCAACTGCTTCTGTAGAGCTAAGATCAGCAAACAACCTAATCAGAGTAAGCTCGGATGTAGATAAAACTGCAGTTCCATACTCTGGACAAGGTTCAGCAATCCAATGATTAAGCCAACTGGAACCAAACTTGCAGCACAACTTCCAACCTCAAAAATCCCAGATCTAGAATAAAAACGTTTTTAAATATGTATCTCTGTGTATAATGGATGTTTATTCGAACAATGATGTTGTCATCACGATAGCATGGAATTGGCCCCTTTCACAATCTACAACAAATTTATTTGGGACAATAATCCCAAGTTCACCAGTAAACACCCGGAACAGATGCAGTCTAATAGTAGTGATGCAGGTACTCTAATTCGCGTGCCAGTAGCCATTAAAGGTTAAATGTTAAAATATCCAGGTTAAATGTTAAAACATCCTTATAAGTTACAAATTTAACAACCCTTCCATTTTAGATACAAATTAAATCTCATATGTGATTTCAGTAAAGCACGCTAATGATCTTAGCTTATACAAAGCTGCTGACAGCTAATCAACATCTTTATAAGTAGAACTTCAAGAAGTATCCCAGCAACCAAGAAGAGCAAAAGGGAGGATTCAAACAACCAAATGCGAGCACAAACATCTGACAGTTCAGGATAGAAATGATATTTACAAGTACAACATTCATTAAGGCCAACATAGCACAATTTAAACCTTTCCTTTATATACTTTTCAGCACACAAAAAACATATTCCCCTTAGCAGATAACAAATGGAATAACTCACATCTACAACAACAAAGAGAGATAGAACCTTTGACAGTCTACTTTAAAATCATAGAATTTTATCACCAGCTCTTCTTCCATGAAAGAAACTAACTGGAACCTGCAATGAAGCAATTTCATTACCTCAACCACCTGGCTGACGCTGAAATCTCCTATCTTCACTTTACCAGAGCGAGTAACCAACAGATTGTCAGGCTTGATATCCCCATGCACTATATTCTGTTTATTAGAAGAAAGACAAGGAGAACAGTTCACCATATGTAGCAATCCATATCTCTGTCTATAGAAGAGACTTGTATATTGGATGGAAATGCATATGCAGCTTCCATAGAACATCTTGATTAAATCAAAGAAACTACAAAGCTAATTCACATAACTTCCATAGAATCTCATTCATGTAACAAAGTTCAAGAAGTCAATGCAAGGATAAATTTTGGAAATGTCTACTTAGACTCTCCTCTCATTTGCCAGTTATCTTTTCTTTTCTTTTCTTTTCTTTTTTTGGGAAAGTTGCTAATTAATTACATCACAGTTCCACTGGAGTGAAAGGAGATCAAAACTAGATCTAGTAGCCCAATTAGAATGCTATTAAAATAACAAGAACAAGCAAGACAAATGATCAAAGGTTGGCCTTGGCTAAAAATACCTATTGACGTCACCATCTTCTAACTATTCGTAGTAAGCAAGTCAGACTATGGATATAGAGAAGATAACAAGCAGCAGTTTTAAAGTCTCAAAAAGATATTCAAAATGATCTACATCAAATCAAGTATGAATGCAATAATTCGGCATAATCATCAAGACTAGCAGGCAGTAAATTTTCTTTTCTCTTTGTGATTAGTAAGACACTGACAAACATTTTTAGAGACCAAATGTTTAAAAATTGTCAAGCTTGTAGTGCTAGCAACCATATTGTCATTCTACCCTTCAAACATGCAGAGAGAGGAAGTTACAGAAATACCAGTGAGCTTTAAATCATTATTGTCAAATTTACTATGCTAATTGCTTTTAGTCTAATAGTGCTACATGAAAAATAACGATATATATATTGAGTGAATGCGAGTCAGTTTGGTAATGGATTACTTGATAAGAAACACTGAACGTGGAAGAGCAAAACACAACAATGATTCTAATAGCAATGCATAAAGAAAATAAAGTAGATGAGAGAACGGCAATCAGTTAAACATGCCAATAATAATAATAATAATAATAAATGAGCTATCAAGACCATACATGAGCATGAAGATACATAAGCCCAGATACGATATCCCGCAAGTACTTCCTACCAGTATCTTCCCCAATTCCACCCGGAGGACCGGATCCTTCCCACACCCATTTTCCATCCACATATTCCAGAACTGAGAAAAGAAAAGACATTTCCAGTCAATTAAAAAGCCATCATTCTACTTGTTTATAAATATGTATTTAATGCAAAATCAAGATCACGAGATTGAGCAAACTGATGTCGAGCACATTCAAATGGAAACATAATGAAAAAAGAATGTGGTTATGTAATACCCATGTAGAAGTGATCTGCATTTGGGTCATCAATCACCTCGATGAGATTGACAATATTAGGATGGTCCAACATTTTCATGATTAGAACCTGCAAGGAAAAAGGAAATAACAACTTGTGTTACTTCATCCAACAGTGCTTCATGTGAAATAGCTAAACAGATCAATTAAAACCACAAACATGCAAAGGGACAACCAAGTATAACGAGCACCAGGCTCTTACAAAATACAAATGGAATGTCAACTCAAATGGCTACATCTAGTTCTGTTAGCTTTTTATAAGCTGATGTGATGCTAGATTAATTTTCATCACTTCAATCATCATCTTTTGTCCACCACCCTCCCCTCTCTCAATGCTTCAATTTTGATCACTCTTCCTCACCAGGGCATCATAGATCAACATTGGAATAGACAAACCATCTCAAATAACTCTCCTCACACCTCCAAATTCTCATAGATGCACTCCTTTCTTACTCAATCTTGCGCTTCCACATCCATCTTAACATCTCATCTCAACTACACTCATTTTATGAACATGTTGATAATTCTCTTCCACCAATCACTCTCCTTCATTCAAGTTTTGAATTTTGTCAATTGTGACACTCCCATAACTCTTTCCATAAGAACCACCTTGATTACAAATAACATTTGAGTACTTTCCACAAAAACAAACAATTATGGAAGATAACAATACTCAAATTTATTTACCAAATGGCTTCTCAAAAATCTTTGCACAAAAGTGCTTATTTAGGCCAAAATAAATAAATAAATTCCTAACCAAAGCAAGAAATATATTAACACTCCTAATTAAAAACAACTGCTTAATATGGAATAAGATAATTATCTGAAGATAAAAATGCCTAAATAACAATTTACAATAATGAAAAAAAATTAATAAAATGAGTTCATAACGCATCTTCTTCTTGCACCTCATTACCTACTCTATCTCCAACATTGCTGAAATTACAATGTATGTACTCTGTTGATGTTTTGGTAGTCTATAATTGCTCTTCCATAACCCCAGCTTTTTGTTGGTCCTAGCTCTAGTTTCATATTTCAGAACTATATGATTAGCAAATAGCACATGCAATTCAATATTAGTCTGATACAACTTTTCAGTTCATTCACAACCAGGGCAAAAATATATATGGACTCAAGGCTAAGCCTTAGTCTTATTTGACTGTCACCCCCAATAAATTCTCTTCATACTACCCTTTCTCACATTTAGATACCAAGTAGAATCACTCTCCTTTTTTTTCCAACACCTATGAAAGGACTTTTCTCAGTACTCTATCAAAAACCTTCTCGAAATTCTTTTCATTCTGTTTCTCTCCATTAAACTCCAAAGAAGAAAGACAACCTCCATAGTCGATTTCCCAGGCACAAAGCCAAATTGATTTTCCAAATCAGAAGATCTATGCTCCATCTCTCCTCATAGCTACCTCAAGTGATAAATAAGCTTAATGTATCAATAGCACACGAAACTTAAGTATCACCCTTGATCTCATATTAACAAAACAAAGGATCTTTTTCTAATCATCCAGTCCCTTCTTCAATATTTCATCAAAAACTTTGTCAACCACATGACTTCCACATCTATGCATCTTGAAACTTCAATGGCAATTTTGTTAAGCCTGCAAGATCTTTGAATCTTAATTCCTACAGAACCTCAATCCCTCCAAAATCCAAATCCCATATGTATAATTAAGGTTTCTTCCTTCTACTGGGATGAGATCTCCAAGGTTTCCAAACTGGTTCTCATTAAACAACTTTGTCAAAATAACTTCTCTGTCTCTCCTTGATCTCATCATCTTTGACAGAGATCTTCAGATTCTCATCCTTGATCCACTTAAATTTGTTTCATATCTCACAACCCTTTGTATTCCACCCACACAAAAATTTGTACACATCCTTCTCCCTGGCTGCCTTTTCTGCTTCTCTTTTAGCCAATGTATGCTATCCGTGAACATCCACATTCTGGAAAAATTCCAATAGCATTATGCTTTGGCCATAATTTTCTTTTGAATCTTCATCCCTCTACCAGTATTTCTTTAGGACTAGCCTGATGCCTTAAATCGCCTTAAATTTTTACCACCACTCTTTTGTTGCATCTGGGCACCTCTGACTGCAGGCCTTGCATCTGTGTTAAGATTCTACAACTGGTCCTCTAGTAGCTTTCCTTGATAGCCAGTTATTTCCCCTTTCAATTTCCAGCTTCAAAACCCTCTGTTTTCGTTCCTACTCTTTCCTCTCCATGTTTTTGTTCATAGTAGCATGCATCTAAAACAACCAACTTATCTCAATCAGAGGGCCCCCTCCCATGCATAACGTTACAATAATTGCAAAAAGTTCAACCTAGTCTACATGTAAAGGAAAAAGAAAGATCTAATGGTTGCCGCTTCTTTGGACGCAAACTAGATCAATTGTATTTATGTATGGAATAAATTCTAAAGAGAGAACAAAATTGAATTGATTATGTGGAATCTAGTTGATTTTCTAAAATTCTGCTCATTATCGATTCTGCATAAAGAAATGAAGAGAGGGATCAAGGTATTTTGGGACAAAATGTGGTCCCATCAAAACCAAACCGACTCTCCACATTCACACCTTGGTGTAAAGTTCAATGAGAAAGGTTTTCAATTCAACACTTTGGAGGTTCCAAACAAGAGAATTGGTCAAATAGAGTTTAATCCAATTGAATTCCACGCTTATAAACTTTTTAAAAAAATGTTGTTTGCATAGGAAATAAATTGAAGTTCTCTTTTCCTAAGCAAATATTGCTAAGAATATATATAATAGAGCATAGGGAGCGTTTTTTTCCCATATATTCTTTTAAGATTTTTTCACTCTAATATGCCTTAAAAGATTCGTGTTTCTCCCATAGGGCAATCAATTGAGGTTTGATTTTTTTTTCCCCTATGTTATTCATTTTTTCCAAGTTTTTAAATGTTTTTTGGGTTTTTTCCTTGGCTTTACAAGTTCTTCATTTTTTTTTTTTTTTTTTTTTTGGGTATCTCAGGAGCATTTTTGTCTAAAAAGTGGCAAAGGAAATGTAGTAAAAAATATGAATATACAAAGGCATAAAACAGTGCAAAAATCTTAAAAGGGCATATGACAGAATGCTCGCAATAAATAGAAGTAGATGGATATGTTAACCCTATATCACAAAACAAAACAAACTCTAAAATAGTATGACCTTCCTCATTCACAATCTTTAACTTTGTATCTTCATTCACCCTCTTAAACCATCGTTAATAATTCCCATATGGCCATTGAATTGAGTATCTTTATTAGGTATCGCTTAGAGCACAAACTATTATGTAGTATTAATTGAACCTAATGCAACTTTCGAGATCTAATCATGAGTAAAAGCTAAATCAAACAAAGACCCTTGAATCATTGAAAGTTTTGATTAACAATCCCTATATTTCTTTTCTGTATTTAAATACATGAACTGTGCTGTGTTTTAGGAACCCTTCTATCACCACTTGCCACCAAAAGTCCAATATTCTGACCATCAAAGTAATCATTTCAACCTCACAAACAACGTTTAAATATCAAAAACCATTATTAAAACTCAAATCAAACTCAAAAAATTTGAGTTTTAATTTTTCGATCTAAAATTTCCAAGCATCTGATGATAATCGGGTTTATGGTTGGTCCGAATGAACTCGCATAGACCAAACCTTACGTTTTGTAGAGGTCTTATCACCAATAGCAGCAGGAACCTAACAGAGAGGGTCCTAGTCCAAACACCTAATGATTCATGTATTAAAAACAAAAGAACAAGAATATAAAAGGAGCCAATCAAAACAGTTGACAATTCAGGAGACCTTTATACGTTTTAGCCCGTGACTAAAAGTAGGATAAAGAGCCTTATTCACACATTACAATAAAAACGCCACTGTAAACTGTCATGGGTTGGTAAGTAAGGTGATGCAACCCTCCTCCCCCTTCCCCAACCAATGAGCTTAAAAATAATAAGTTTGATAGGGTAGAGCTAGAGCATTTTCCCAAAGGTTCGGATATTGGCACTTCAAATTGTAACAGCACTGGAGACTACAGAACAAGAGAGTAAGCAGAAGCAGATACCTCACGAAGAACATCAGTCATTGCAGTCTCTGATGGAGCAACCCGCAGCTTCAACAAATGAGACTTATGAAAGGCCTGCAATTAATGAAAAAAATTATAACATCCACACATACTATCTTTAACTGAGAGTTAATCTCACTTTCTTACATTAAAAAAAAACAAAAAACAAAAAACAAAAAAGGAGAATAGAAAAGAAAATTCTCCACAATTTTTTTTTTAAAGCTAATTCATTCAAATTTAATTAAAAAAAAAAAAATGAGACTCTCTCTATTGTTGGTACTTCTTTTGAAGAATAGTTGTTATGTTACTAATTTATCCACCACAAAAAGAAGCATTCGGATTCAAAGAGAAACACTACCTTAATTGCATAATGCTTTCCATCTATACTGCTTCGATACAAAACCTGTCGCAGAAACAAGGTTAAAAAGCTAACAGACCAATTTCTTAACCAATATGAGCAAAAAGAATGTCTCCCCACATTAGGCTTACCACTTTGCCATAGCTACCAGCACCAATCTTATACTGGCGAACATATTCATTGACCATCTTATTACCATTTTCATCCTGAAAAGCATTTAACAAAACAACGAAACAAGAACCCCTTCTCAGAAATGTAAGTTGTATGCACACTAATAATACCTACGAGATCCACATGGATTATAAGCAGTTCCATTTGAAGCGAGGTGAAAACATAGGAAAAGCCTGCAAAATAAATAAAAAACAGATTCAGACAAATAATGATCACCTCAGAGCGAACAAGACGTTGGGTTTCCTTGACAGGAAATTGCCTGCAAATCAGTCCATTCAGCTCCCTAAGTCTTAAAATCTCTTCAGAGCGTTTTGCATGATTCGGTATTTCAGCATCATCACAATAACTGGTGCCAGTAATGTCACCATTAAAAGAACCATCATCCTCCCCATCATCATCAATTTCACCATCCAACAAAAATTCCTGGGAGAGATTATTATTCTTATTATTATAATTCCTCCCGCCGCAAATGGGCACGGATCTTCGCTTGGGCTTCCTGAGGAACCCAAAACAGCTGCAACAACCCATTGCTTTAGCAAAGGAATAGCTCTTACGAAACATTGATTATCGACAAGGAAAACCCAATTTCAGAATCAGGAAGATAACGAATAGAAAATCTGGAAATCGGAGAGAGAAAGGAAACGGAAAAGGGCCGTCAAGCCCTGATCAGATTTGGTATTCCAAAGGATGCCATTCAGCCAAGTGAAAATGATAGCTTATACTAATATTGAATAAGCAACCAAACATCCTGATTTTGATTCCACTCAACAAACAATACACGTTGACCTTTCTTCTCCAATAAATAAAGACAAACTCGAGTTGATTTCTCAGACGCTATCAAGAACAAGATCAAATGGAATTTTTCAGAGAAACCCTAATTTTGGATACAAAAAGAGGGATGTTGGGGTTTAAAACCCTAAATTGTTGAGATTTGAAGATTGAGAAGGTGAGATTTGAAAGTTTTAGAAGTTAAAACATACGAAGTTATAATGATACTAATATTTACATATATAATCTCACTTTTATTTATTTTATTTTTTTTAACAAGCGTGTGCGAGGAAGCTGTGGGAAAGTGTTTCTACTATTATTAGCGTCAGGTGGGGCCATGGGTGAACATTTTTTCTCTATTTTTGAGGAATATGTTAAATATCAAGAAAATGACAATAAAAACTCCAACGATGAGCAGTTCTACTACTTTAGTATCACGATCCAACCATCAATTTAAAAACTAATAAATATTTATACTCAAAACAATATAAATATTGTTATGAAATAATAAATGTCCATCATCATATTCATCTACTTTTCATATCCTCACTACTTATGATTCTTAATATGATTCAATTTATCATTCAATAAGAGAAATGATAAATTGAAAGGGTGACGTAATTGATTATTTATAATCCTTCCAATTCTCTTCTCAAATTTAAAGCCTATAAATAGGCTTGATTGTTCATTAGTTGGTATATAAGTTTTCTGAGAGAATAAGAGAAACTTTAAAGTTCTTATCACTTATATTCATATTATAGTGATTTCATTTTCTTGTCATCATTTTCTTCAATTCTCCTATTATTTCTATTTATTTTATAACACGTTATCGACACGAAGCTCTAACCAATCGAGACAATAGACCATGAGGTATATATTTACCAAAAGACTTAATCAATTATTTCAACTATTGGATTTTTTTCTACACAAGTGCTCTACCAAAAGATCTAAATTATTTAGATTATTAAGAAGTATATATCTAATTTATTTATGTACTTTAAATCGATTGATACATGAAATATACATTTGAAAAACTTAAATGACTTACTAATGATCTAATATATGTTATTTGAAAGCTTAATTTTATTATTATATTTGTTCTTTTTTTATTATTAAATGTTATATTATAGAATTTTTATCATATCAAACCTCATAAACTTGATTTTGTAGCCCTTGATATTTCAAATAGGAATTATTAATTATAAGTGCTTGATTTGAAAAAATATTCTCTACTTTTTATGTTTTGAATATGCTCCTGCAAGTAGCAATATCGAAAAAAAGAATTTAAGAAATATTATGAATTGATTTCATATTTGCTCATGAGTCAATAAAATGACAAGCTATTGATGAAAAAGAATAAATCTCATCCAATTGGATTTACTCCATTCCCTAAAATGAATGTGACAACTTATAATAATTTTAGACATGGACAAAGATGTGGTCATAACCATGAATATAATCGAAATAATTATCACCATAATTATGATGATCATAATATTACATCTCACCATCGAAGTAGATAATTATGAAAAAAAAAAAGAATGAAAATAGATAAAATCAGCATTCGAAAATGAATGTTATAGATATGGTATGAATGGACATTAGTCGTGTACCTACCATACACAAAAGCATGTCATCAAGCCTTGTCAAACCTCATTGAAAAAGAAAAAAAAGTAAAACATAGAGGCTAATTTTATATATTAAAATAGAGGTAATTGAAATCAATAATGTGTTACCTTTTTTATTTATAAATAAAATATTTTATATTTTCTTATAATTGCATAGAGATGGTAATGAATTTATTTTACTATATATTTATTTATTTATGATTATGAAGAATTTATTTATTTATTTATTTATTTATTTTATGTTAATATTTTATATGATAATATCAATATAATAGAAAGCTCTAGAAGAGCGATTATATTATTACATGAAGAGATAAATTTTTAAAGCTCTAGAATAGCAATTATATTATGACTCGAAGAGACAAAATTTGAGGACTTTAGAAGAGCAAATACATTATTACATGAAGAGACAACTTTTAAAAACTCTACAATAGTGAATATATTATTACTTGAATAGATAACTTTTAAAGGCTTTAGAAGAGTCGATATATTATTGCTTGAAGTGACGTAATTTAAAAGATCCAAAATAGCAAATATGTTATTATCCGAAAGGATAAATTTTATTATAAATGATATACTATTCTCTTAAAGTCTCATAGAAATTTGTTGAGTGTCAAAGATATTCATCTAAATTGATATCATATCAAGATAACAAATGTGAATACTTATATATTATAATCATTATACCGGGTAGAAAATATGCATTGAAAAATTTACTCGATTTCTCTTCTAGTCTTTATTACAAATATTGGAATGATTGAAACAATTGTTATAGTAAACCGAAGTTTACTAATTCAAATACTTTTATTATGTGATATGACCAATTGTGTTATCTTAGGTCTTTTATAATGCTATAAATTATTAAAAATTTATATGGACATCTATTGAAAAGCTAAAAGATTCTTCAATTTAATGAATTTCATGTATTGCATGTTCTTTAAGACAAGTTGATTATTAAGCCATCACCAAGTAAAATTAAGATTGAATCTCCAGTATTTTTAGAATGTATTCAAGGTTATATATATTGATCAATTCATCTACCATGTGAACCATTTAAAAATTTTACGATTTTAATAAATGCATTCATAAGATTGTCACATATATGCTTGTCATCTACTCGAAACTCGACGTTTTCGAGATTGCTAGTAAATAATTTGATTTCGAGTATAATTTTTAGATTATGCCATTAAAATAAGTCACCTTGATAATCTTGATGAATTTATTTCTTAAGCATTTAATTATTATTGATTGGCTATTAGAATAAAGATTGAACATCCCGTTGCTTATGTTCATACTCAAAAAGGTTTAGCAAAATTATTTATCAAAAGGCTCCAATTGATAGAAAACCATTATTTAAAAATAAAACTCCATGTTTATATTTTAGGACATACAATCTTACATGCAATAATATTTGTTCACATCGGACCCATGAGTTATCGAAATTCTACCCCCTTTAATTGGTTGATAGTCATGAGCCAAATATTTTTTTATTTGAGAATTTATGGCATTGCAGTGTGTATCCATAGTATTATTTAAGAATTTATGGCATTGTAGTGTGTATCTATAGCACTCCTTCATAACTAAATAAAATGGGCACTTAAAGGAGCTTAGGAATATATGTCGGATTTGAATCATTTTTTGATAATTACATATCTTGAATCATAAATAAGTGATAATTTTACGACTTGATTTATCAATTGTCATTTTGATGAAATAGTTTTTTCAACATTAGTGGGAGAAAATAAACAAAATAAGCGAGTTGAAAATGTTAAAAAAAAAAAAGATTACACAGAGTACTCTATCTTTATATCATATTGAATCTCATACAAAACAAGTGTGAACTAGAAGTTCAAAAGATAATTCATTTACAAGGTATTACAAACCAATTACTAGATGTATTTTCGGATTCTAAATGAGTAACTAAAATGCATGTCGCACCGAGAATGCTTCTATTAGAATTGATATACTAGAAGGACAATCTATTAATATTATAGCTAATGAATCTAAAGCATACTTTAAGTGTGGAAAACCGATCAATTCTAAAGATAAAAAATCCTTAAAAGAAAAGGACAAGATGAAAATAAAAAAGATGGCAATGTTCACAAAAAGGTCTAAGATATTTATGATAATATGCTTCCGGAAGAAGTCCAAATGCTTGAGAAAATCAAGAAATTTTGATAAATTATATCAATACGAGGGATAAAATAGGACGGAAAAGAAATATTTATCAATAAGATTTTTGTATATAATGTTGCAATTGATATTTTGAATGAAAATAAGGATCTTGAGCCAAAATTTATTGAAGAATATCGACATAAAGATGATTGGCCTAAATGAAAAGAACAATCTAGGTAGAATTATGTTCTCCTATAAAAGAGTAGTTTTTTTTTAACCCATAGCTAAAACACCTAAAGATGTTAAGCGAGTGGGATACAAATATGTATTTATGCGAAAATGAAATAAGAAAAATGAGATTGTAAGATACAAAGCAAAACTTTTAACATAAGAGGTTTCGTAAAGAACTGACATTGACTATAAAGAGACATATTCTTCTATAATGGATGCAATTATATTTTGTTATCTCATTAGCTATGCAAAATATATGAAAAATTCATATGCATGTATTTAATGAATGTGATCATAGTTTATTTGTTCATTTAAAATGATATTAGTATAAAAGTCCTAGAAGGACTTAACATGCCGAAGCATGTAATGTATATTTTTGAGAAAAGAATTCAATTAAATTATAGAGATTTCTATAAGGATTATTTTAGTATTTGTTTTATTATTTTAGTTTTTAGAAATTCAATTTATATTATACTTTTTTATATTTTATTTTTATGTCTACTCGTTTATTATTAACCCGTATGCATGTGATATAATCACTTCAATGATTATTTATTAAAAGAAAGGTATAAAAAAATAACCTTATTTATTCATTTATTTTTATTTGAAATTTTTTTTGTTGTATGTGTTGATAACTTAAATATTATTGAAACTCCCGAAGAGATTCCAATTGTGATAAGTTATCTAAAAAGAGAATTTGATGTGAATACCTTGGAAAAATAAAATGTTATCTCGACTCGTAATTTGAGCACTTAGAGAATGAGATTTTTATTCATCGATCAATTTGTATAGAAAAATATTCTACAATGATTCTATATAAAGATCATTCATTTACTAGTCCAATGGTAGTTTATTAACTTGATATCCAAAAAGACCATCTTCAACATCGAGAAGATAACAAAGAACTACTTGGTCCTAAAGTACCATATCTTAGTACCATTGGTGCATTGATATATCTTGTTAATAATACCCGATCCGATATAGTCTTTTCTATAAATTTATTAGCAAGTCATAGTTTTGTTTCAATACGAAACATTGAAATAAAATGAAATATATACTACGTTATCTTCGAGGAATAATTGATATGAGCTTATATTACTTCAATAAATAAAAAACAAGATTAATTGATTATGCGGATGTAGGTTATTTATCCGATTCACACAAAACTCAATCATAACCGGTCATATATTTACATATGGAGATACAACTATATCTTGGCGTTCTATGAAGCAAAATATAGCTACCACATCTTCAAATTATGTAAAAATATCAATTTATGAGGCAAATCGAGAATGTGTTTGGCTAAGATCAACAATCCATCATATCCGAGAGATATGCGGTTTATCTATCAGCAAAAGAAGTTCCAAAAATATCATACGAGGATAATGCTACTTTCATCATTTCATTGAAGGAAGAATACATCAAAGTGACAATCCAAGCAGATTTATTCGCTAAGGCATTACCTACCACAACTTTTGAGAAAATGATTCACAAGATTGAAATACATCGTCTTAGAGATCTTAAATGATGTTTTCAACATGGAGAGGCCAACACTCGAGATTAATGTGTACAATGAATATTGTACTTTTTTTCCTTCACTATGATTTTTTCCCACTCGGGTTTTTTTCTAATAAGGTTTTAACGAGGCATATTCCTTGTACAATAGACATTCAAGGGGAGTGTTATGAAATAATGAATGTCCATCATCATGTTCATCTACTTTTCATATCCCACACTACTCATGATTCTTAATATGATTCAATTCATCATTCAATATGGGAAACTGAAAGGGTGATGCAATTAATTATTCATAGTCCCTTTCAATTCTCTTCTCAAATTTGAAGCCTATAAATAGGCTTAATTGTTCATTAGTTGGTGTACAAGTTTTCTAGAGAGAATAAGAAAAACTTTGAAGTTCTTATCACTTATATTCATATTACAGTGATTTCATTTTCTTGTCATCCTTTCCTTCAATTCTCATATTATTTCTATTTATTTTTATAACAAATACATCACTATTCTCATATTATATTAGATAAAATAAAAATAATGGAAAATTTTTATTTAAAAGAGTTCTTATAATATCAAATAGTATAAATGACAATGAAATTCTCTCGCACTTCTTGAATCCAAGTTGAATCTAGGTTGCCTATATAGGATTTGCATCGTATACATCATTAAGTTCGAGTCATTAGAATAGGCTGCACTACTACATTGGTTATTTGAAAAAAAAATAGTAATTATTTTTATGATATTTTTTTTAATTTTTTTTTGCTATCATAAATTGATTAGTAAATATTGTATTGATAAATTGGGTTTTGTAAATTCAAAAAAAGTATAATAATATTCAATTAAGAATAAAATTATAAATTTATTTGTGAAATATATTTAATTGGTAGTGGTAAATGTGTATTTTTATCACATGCATGAATTTTCAATTTAGTTTTTCAAAATGTTTTTGATTTTACGTATTTTTTTACTAAAGTTTTCCCTGGATTGTAAATATAAAAAGAACAACCAAGGTAGAAAAATTAAAAAAAAAATAAAACATAGAAAAAAAATCAACGTGAATAAATAAAATATTACCTAGATAAAAAAAAATATTTCTAAAATAAAAAATCAAATCCATTATAAATAAATATAATAACAAAAATATTTTAATCAACTTTTTTTTTTGCCTAAAAAAATTAAATGTAAATAAAAAATCTGAAATTTTTTTCTAGCGCTATATAAATAAAAATATGATCTATTTTTGTGTTTTGGCTTCTTAAAATAATTTTTCTAATTTGAATAAAAAATTCGAAAAAAGAAATTCAAGCAGTAAACTTGGGCGTAATATGAATGATTTGAAGACATACCCTAATGGAGTCTAAAATGGCAGTATGGGCCTGCTTTGTGCGGGCTCAAAAATTAAATTAAATTATAAATTAGTCCCTTTATTGTTTAGGAACGAATTAATAAGTTCTCTTTTATTTAAAAATTAACTATTCAATGCTTTAACCAATGTTAACCATAATTAATTTATTATTATTTTATTTTTTTAAAATATCATCTTTAATCCTTCCATATTTTTACTTATTTGTTTTTCTATTTCCTAAAAAAGATTGAAAACAAAAACTAAAATGATTTAGTTATGAGAAATTTTTTAAAATTAGAAACCAAATTTAGTTTTAAAACCAAAATAGCCTAACCAATTCGCTTATCAAAACTAAAAGGACTGATTTATAATTTACTATCGAAATTGCAAAGAAATAGTAACGACAACGAAAAAAAAAGAAAAGGGTCCACTCTCTAGCGCCACGGGAAAGCAAAGGACCTCACCACAGACCACGCCCCCACACCCTCAGGTGTTCCAAAATTTCACGACTCTCTCCCACTTCTCCCTTATTAATTAAATAAATTTTAAGAACAAAAGGAAAGGAAAGGGAGCCGCCTCGCGAACCAGAGTTTGCAGAAAGAATGGCCGTCGGCGTTCTCGCTTTACAGGGTTCTTTCAACGAACACATAGCAGGCACTTTTTCTAACATAAACGTAGTGCTGATTTTTTTTTTTTTTTTTTGGTTGTTAGATGTTTGCTTAGTTATCGTTTGATGGAAAAGTATGCGTATTTTGACAGCACTTGGCAGATTGGGAGTGAAGGGAGTAGAGATAAGAAAGCCAGAACAGCTTCAAAATGTCACCTCACTTATTATTCCTGGCGGTGAAAGCACGACTATGGCTAAACTCGCTGAGTTTCACAACCTGGTCTCTACTTTGTATTCTTTCCTGTTGATTTCTTCATTGATTATATAAATGGGTTTTTGTCTAATGCTTTTGTTACGCTAACCATCACCATGCCAGAAATAATAATAATAATGATAATAATAATAAATCAAGTTTCTGCCACATTTTCTTAGAAAAATCATTCATTCTTTATATTTAGTAGTATTTTTTTCACTTAATTTCTTAATTGCAGTTTCCTGCTTTGCGCGAGTTTGTTAAAATGGGAAAGCCTGTATGGGGGACCTGTGCAGGTCTTATCTTCTTGGCAAACAAGGCCATTGGTGGGTTTTCATTTCTTTTCTCCTTTTGCTGTATTCAGTTTGGATTTCTCTATTTAAGTTTCCATGTTTAATGCCCTATGTTTTTGTTTCCAATATAAATACCTGACGTATCTATTTGGTTGCAGGTCAGAAAACTGGAGGACAAGAACTGGTTGGTGGCCTAGATTGCACTGTCCATAGAAATTATTTCGGCAGTCAGGTACATTTGCTTTGTGTTTCATTCAGTTAATAGTGTCCGCAAAAACATATGTAGAATTCTCTATTGTTCTACCATATATATATATAGTTGGTGAAAAAGGCATGCAGTTACAATGCATTTTAATTCGAGTTTCATCTCATAATAATGGATGGGAACCTTTCAAAGTATAAGGGCTTCTAGTTCTGAGGTGGTATGATACGTTTCACAATCTAGTGAAATGTTGCTTTTGATCTTTGTAATATGTTTCCAGTGGTTGCTCCTATTTTCAGTTCTATACTCATTTTATATTGATTGACTTGTTCACAAATTATGTTATTTCCCACATAGCCAAATACATGAATTAATGCTGTCAGACCATTTATAGAACAGAGTAGAATTAGTACTCTACTCATTTCAACTGTATTTGTCATTTTTATTAAAGCAAAATAAAACATAAATTATGAGGGTTGGTTGTAGGATTAGGCGTCATATAACTTACTGCTTTCTGGCAAAAGAAGTTATACCTAACTAAAGGAACACATAAAAAATAAACTTTTGAGATTAGCTCTTTTTATTTTATTTTAGATGTAACATAATAATGTCCACAGATTCAAAGTTTTGAAGCAGAGCTTCCAGTTCCAGAACTTGTGTGTAAGGAAGGTGGCCCTGAAACGTTCCGTGGAGTTTTCATCCGTGCTCCTGCCGTCCTTGAAGTTGGGCCTGGAGTTGATGTGCTGGCTGAGTGTCCTGTTCCTTCTACCAATGTGTTATATTCAAGTTCTGCTGTTCAAATCCAAGAGGTTTTTACATATTTCATTCTCGATTAGAAATCTAGTGTATGACAGCCTGTCCCTCAGAGTGCTGTCTGCCATAATTTTCACTGTTTGCCAAACATGCATGCATTTATTGTTTTTGTTATTGTAAGCATTGTGGTTCTGATTTCCAGTAGAATGACAGACATACAGGGGAAAAAAAAACAGAGAAAAGGCATGTGGAAAGAGTATTAATAGAGTAGAATATGGATTTATGCCAATATGTTCATGTGTAAAGTGAAATCCCTCTGCCATTGTAATTAGTATTTGCAAGGGGCTGTTTGAAAGAATTGTAGCACATGTTGACCATTTGTGCAGCATATGTTACGCAAAAAGCTTTACCATCTGTTTGATCTTCTGTCAGTGCCTTGCCTTAATAAAAAGGGAAAGGTCTATACAAACAAACTTTTATACAGAATTTCGATACAAATTTGATGTGGAAAGTGATGTATGGTGCTACCACTTGCCATATAATTGGGATGATATCATTTTGCCTTGAGCACTACTTCTATTTTGTCAGATTTTACTGTATATATTTTTTTAAAGCCTCACACATAATCCATGTTTGACATTCAGGAAAATTCCATGCCAGAAAAGAAAGTTGTTGTAGCTTTAAAGCAGAGAAATTTGCTAGGGACTGCCTTTCATCCTGAACTGACAGCTGATACTAGATGGTATATTTGTTTTCCAGTTATGAGTTCTCTTTGTTGTTTTATGTAAGATTCTAAGCGTGTGTTTCTGCAGGCATAGCTACTTCTTGAAGATGGTAAGCGAGGTTGGAGAAGGAACCTCTAGTAGTATTGTCCCTGCAGGAGGAGTGGATCTAAGCAACGACGGAAAACTGCGGATTGATCTCCCTATATTTTAACAGTCCCAGTGAGATGATTATTAGTAGTTTCTTTGCATCTTTTCAGTTATAATCTTTTTCTTTCTGAGTTGCACAAGAAAATGATTCTTACTTTGCCTATTATTATCTTAAATTCAATCATTTTAGACGCCTTTAAGAGATCAATTTGTCTCTTAGTTTTGGATTTAAACTCTTGATAGTCATGCATCCGCCCATGTATACATATTATATAACTTTCAAAGGAAGTTTACGTTTTATATCTGTAGAAATTTGTGACATTTGAAATTCATCCCGTGTTCTGTAGGACAAGCACACACCCATGCGTACTAACCAAGTTCGTTTTTGCGTGGTTTGAACAATCACCGACGTCTGTGTTTTTATTTTTCTTTTTGTCCCTGTCATTCATCTATAAAAGTAATTTAGCAGTCTCGCAGGAGCTTGACATTATTTGTTTATTTTAAGGAAATCAGGTTTCCATCAAAAAGGGAAAAAAAAATGAAAAAGATCATGTAATTGATGCATCCAGAAGAATCCCAAGCCATAAAAAAAAAAAAAAAGTAGGCTTAAAAAACTAGTGATTTCTCAAGGTAGTACGGCAGTTCATAGAATTAGAATCTGGCTGGGCAGATATTGAAGAGATACGGATTAATTGCATATTTTGTTTTTTGTATTCTTGACTTTTTATTTGTAATGTGATTTTTTAAAATAGAATTTTGGTCAATTTTTCAGCAGTAAGTGATAGTTAGACTGTCGCCTTAAATAATAGTGATACACGTTAAAAAAATAATTTAAAAAATAAAAAAATGAAACTAAAAAAATAGGAAAATTTTATTTTTTGAAATTTTATTTTATTTTTTCATGTGTCATTGTTAGCTAACGCGGTAATTAAATTGACTGGAATTTTATCACAGAAGCTATATTGAAAAAAATTGTCTTGAGCAAACAGATGAAAAAAAAAAAGTATATTATATTAAGAAAATATCAAGAATATAAGTATGAAATATGCGATTAATCTGAATAAATACTCGTGGGATTTGAACTTTTGAGATACCTGCGAAGAGAAAAGTTCCGTAGCTGTATCTGTTAATATTATTTCATCGAAAGTTATAAAACAATGGTATCATTACATGGGACGTGTGAGCACAAAGTATTTTCCAATCCAATTAATTAATGATGCGTAATACAAAGAGTTAGCTGTTAATGATTGTATAGAAAAATGGTCTGTGGCTGGCTCCGTGGTGTTTTTAGGGGGGTCCATGATTGCAGGGGTAGCAAGCTCGACAATCTAAAATGCAGATGCGTCTCCTGTTGCATGTAGAATGCTTAATCCAAGGAGGACTATTGCGTGATCATGTAGGCAAATTCCCTTTTGACTTTCTTGAAATGGGATCTGCCTGCTGGTCACCTTACTTGCCTAAGAATTGCTGATTTCATCGCTATTGATGAATGCCACCGATTCTTACATTTGAAATATTCATAATTGAGTTAATGGTTGCAAGAGTTTCACATTTCTTTTTTTTTTTTCCTTCGTCTTGATTGAATTTCTTTATATATATATATTTTTTAAAAAAGCTCAAATTCATCTTTTATGTTTGATTTCTATTTGAAGTTCTTCAATTCATTAATTTTTTTTAAGCTACTATGTTAAATTGCATCGTTTGCCCCATAAAAATGCACACATGTCAATTTTTTTCTTGAAATTAAAAAAATAGTGAATATAATTTTTTTTTTCAGTTTAAATATATTGGTATGATAATAAACAAATTTTGAGTATAAAATGAAATATTTATTTTTTAAAACTTTTTTGGGAATATATACTTAAAAGTAGTTAAAAGACTATAAATATTATTTAAAATTTTAACTAAAAATATTTTGAAATTTAAAAGAATACTATAAGTATGTCTTTCGATTTCTTGCTTTCATCATTTCCGGCCTCGGTTGTTATGATCTATGATACATTTTTATAACTTGAAAATTAATCTATTTATTAAATTGATCAAATATAGATATATCTCGATCCGATTCGAAATTAATAAAATATTATTTTTAATAAATATAATATTTTAAAAACATAAAAATATTTAAATAAAAAAAGGCTCTAGATTTAGATTTAGAGTTTATTTACTTTAAATGATAAAGAAATGTTTTATGAAACATTCTATATGTATGCCTTTTTTCCCTTTGTATATTGATGGTTGTTCTTCAACTAATTACATGTTCTAACCTTATTCAAATTCTAAAAATGCTTAAGAAAAATTTGATTTAAAGTTCTCAAATCGCTATAAAAATCTATTTACCATATGTTATGTAAATTATTTCATAAAAAAAATTATAGATAGAGTTGTTCAACCTGTAAAAACAATAATTGTTACAAAAAAAATAGCTCTCTAGCAAAAACCTATCCCCGCCCCCTCCTCTACCATAAAAACCATAGTCAACCTAACTTTCCCCACTAAAAAAGCCCAAAAAAATCTTCTCTCTTCCTACCAAAGAACCCTAATCTTTCTTTTGCTCCAACCTTTAATCATACATTTTACTTTGAGAGATTTCGTGATTGGATTGAACTGACTCACTTTCTTTCTTCCCTTTTCTTAATAAGTTCAATCCGAACTTTTTTAAGTGTTGCATGAAAAACAAGGAGATATTTCGCAATTGACATGAGATTTGATACCAAATTCTAATACGTATTGTTCTTAATTAGAAATTTAGATTTGAAAAAAAAAAAAAGAAAATAATATGGAAAAATATAAAAAAACAAAAAATAAATAGATAATTAGTCCCAGCCTAACCTTTAAAGAAATTTTCATTTTTTCAATTCATATGCCTTTTGTCACACTTTGGATGAAAATTCCCTCCAACCACCATAGGAAAAATAATTTTCAAAAAGCCTCAAAAAAATAAAATGTACCTAAAAAAATGAAAAAGCCCACAAAACATATAAAAAAAATTAAAAAGAACCTAGAAAAAATAATACTAACTTGTAAAAAGAAAAAAAAATGTTCATAAAACCTTGTAAATAAAAAAATGTAGATGATAATGGAAAAGGTTTTACATTATATGGGCTTTCAAGAATATCGTTAGTTACTTTTTTTTTATGGGCTATTTTATTGTTTATTTTTTTATTATTATTATTTATTATTTTTTTTTTGGATGTTTCGAGTTTTTATGCTTCTAGTGTATGTTTTTTTTCCCGCCTTCTATTTTCAGCTTTTTCAAGTTTTGTTAAGTTTTTTAAAACTTAGTTTTTCATTTTTATTTTTTTATTTTTTTTAATGTTTTGAAATTTTTTTTGATGGCCTAAATGTTTTGTTGTCAATTTGTTTTTTTTTAAAAAAAAGATATAAGAAAGAAAATATGAAAATATAAAGATATGTTTGAGTGAAAATGTTTTAAAAGAATACTTAGAAGAATACAGCCAATGTTTGTGTATATAATGTAAAGGAAAATGCAATAGAAATTAAGAACTACGTAATGTACTCTTTCCATTATGAAAGCAAGCCATGCATCATTTAGGTCCTTAATTTACAATAAACCGAACCATCCGTTAGGTTTTCAAAAGATTGAATTTGAAGAAATAACTACTTTTCTTGGTCAGCCATGTTTCTAACAGAAGGAAGCAAATTAAGATTCATGGAGCTTTAAGCCAAACTAGGTGAGCTCACACCTTATAAATATATGCCTTTGCACCTCTATTTTTTCATCTCATCCAATATTAGTTTTGCAGCACTTAGAATCAACAAAAAGGAGGAGTGGAAAATAATTGCATCACAGAGTACAAATTATAAGATATATGGATAAAATGAAGTCATATGTTTTTGTAGCTCTTTTCGTTGTGTTAATTGCTACAGAAGGCATCTTTGTTCAAGGCAATGACAGTGGCAATGACAATGGAAACAAAGGGAATAACAATGGAAACGAAAATAATGGAAACAGCAAAGGCAATGGGAATCATGGCGACAAAAAGGGTAATAACAACGATGGCAATGATAATGGAAATGGAAACAAAGGTGGCAACAACGGCAACGGCAACAATGGAAATGGAAAAGGAAAAGGTAATGGTGGCAATACTGACTATGACGACTTGAGTCCTCTTGGGAGTGGAGAGGAACGAGCTCACTGCAAGGCAAAGGGGTATTGTAACAACAAGATCCTAGTCTGTCCAGCTCAGTGCCCAGAGAAGAAGCCCAAGAAGAACAAGAAGCACAAGGCATGCTTTGTTGACTGCAGCAGCAAGTGTGAGGTGACTTGCAAGCGTAAGTATTACATATTAATTAAATACAACTAAGCAGCTGTACGTTTAATTTGACAGTTCTAGCTGATCTAAATCAGTCCATTAATTAATGCTAATAATCCACCTGCAGATAGGAAACCTAATTGTAATGGATATGGCTCTCTCTGTTATGATCCTCGGTTCGTTGGTGGTGATGGTGTGATGTTCTACTTCCATGGAGCAAAGGGTGGTAACTTTGCCATTGTGTCTGATGATAACCTCCAAATTAATGCCCACTTCATTGGAAGTAGACCTCAAGGAAGGACTAGGGACTTCACATGGGTACAAGCACTCTCTGTCATGTTTGATTCACACAATCTTATCATTGCTGCAAACAAGGTATCCAACTGGGATGACAATGTCGATTCACTGACTGCGCGATTTGATGGGGAAGCAATCGACATTCCTGCCGATGGAGAAGCTGAATGGAGGAGTAACAGCGAAGAAAGACAAGTTATAGTAGAAAGAACTGATGAGACCAATGCTGTAAAAGTGATTGTTGCTGGTCTAGTGGAAATGGACATAAAGGTAAGGCCTATTGGCAAACAAGAAAATGAAGTCCACCACTACCAATTGCCACACAACGATGCATTTGCTCACTTGGAGACACAGTTCAGGTTTAAAAACTTAACCGATCTTGTCGAAGGAGTTTTGGGAAAGACATACAGGCCAGGCTATGTTAGTCCTGTCAAGATCGGGGTGCCTATGCCAATGACTGGGGGAGAGGACAAGTACCAAACTCCATCTCTCCTGTCACCTTTCTGCAGGCTTTGCAGGTTTCAGGGGCCATCAACTGGGATGGCCACAATCTGAGTTGCTTCTCAGCTCTCAACATTAGTGAACTTGATTAAGAAAATAAATACTACTACTACTACTCCTCCATAAAAAGAAATCATCCAATTCTTTGTAAACCAATCGATCGGCCATGGAAATGTTTATGTCAAGATTCTTTTTTCTTGAATATTAAAAAATATAATAATAAGGCTTATGAAAATTGACCATTAGTTACAAATAACAAATGTCTGTCTGTTTTATTATTACTACAATTTCTATAAAATAGACTAGCTAGTATTAGAAAATTGAGTAAGTAATGATTTGTAAAACGAAATTTTTTTAACATAAAAATTCTCGAATACTCACATATAATATAACAAATGCACAAAAACTTGGATTAAATCAACATCACCAGTGTCTCTATTCATAATATTTTCGTTAAATAAAATTCATTATGCATAGCAGTAGTACTCTTGGAAATTAAATTAACTTCCATACACACAAATTAAGTACGTAGCAACATTATAAATTGAATTTAAGAGGTAGGAATTTTCAAGAATCAATGGCGTAGTCCTTCAAAGATTAGCATAAAATCATTTTTCTGATCCTATCAAATAGTTTAAATAAAAATATATAGCTAGTTTTTTAACATAATATCAAAATTTTGATATAATAAACGCATGTACGATTATATAATTAATTATTGTCATATAACAAGAATCTACAGCTAGATATCTTAATTATCTAATTCCTGCTTATATTAACCACACGAGCATCGCGCGATTAAAACGTACGTCGGCAAAGGATTGAGTAACCGTCTTCCTTCCTGCATCTACAGTCGTCAGCTGTCTTACTATTGATGTTATCGGAAGAAAAGAATTAGCATCAATTGACGAGTAAACTAGTCTAATAACCGGTTAAGCCACATGAATACATGGTACCTGTCATATTACTCCGAAGAAAAGAAACATGTCTGGATTTCCGGTTAAGCCACATGCATACATGATACCTCTCATATTACTCTCAAGAAAAGAAACATGTCTAGATTTCCGATTAAGCCACATGCATACATGATACCTCTCGTAAATATGTTATGAATTTTATATGCATGCTGCTTTGCCAGCTAGGTTACTTAAACTGTCAACGAATTGAATGAATTTTGATTTTTGATTTAAGTTAATGTTTAACTTTTGATTATAAGAAAAGTCATAATTACGTTTGATTAGAAATAATTTTTTATCTTAAATCAAAAGTTTATTATATAATTAAGTCAAAATTTTGCTTTAATAAAAAATTAAGTTTTTTTAACTTTGGACTTACGAATTCTAATTTATACACTATCACTATTCTTCAAAAAAAAAAAAAAAAATTGCTTTCACTCATTTTTTACCAAATATGTATCTAATTTAATTCATTTTTATCATAAATTATTTATGATAAATAACTTTTGAATTATGATTTAACATTAAGAAAATATTTTTCATAAATCATGCTCAATAAGTAACGAATTATTATATACTACTCATACTTATCTTTTTCTCCTACAAAAGATAATAATTTTATTAATGATATAAATATGATAAAATTCAAACAAATACGTCACCATCTTTGTGGCATTACGATGCCAAAAACTAAAAAGAGAATTGCAATTTCGTACATTGAAAAAAATTAGACAAAATCCGTTTACAATAACGATGAATAATAAGTGATATAACCCAAAAATTTTCCTCCTCTTTATTTTTTTTTATTTTTATTTTATTAGAATTAATCCAAGAAAACACAATATATATATATATATATACAAAACATAAAAAGTATTCAATTGTTAGGGGCATAATTGAATCAAATAAAACTATAATTAGAGTAATTGAGGTTACAATTGGAATAATTGGAAACTACAGGACTAAAATTACAAGATTCGGAGACTCGATTGAAGAAACTAAAAGTATAGGAATTATAAATACATATCTTGAGGATACAATTAAAACAAAATTGGATTCATAGGGATCAAAATTGATCCGAGTACACAAATGGCGGGATCAATTCGGTCCCCTCGAATGACCTATCGTCCTTGCTTCTTCAACAATAATTTTGAGCATTAGCTCTAGTCCTCCCTATCCTCCGGTACTGCCATCATCTTCGATAAATACAATGACATAGAGGGACAAACCGGATATACAAATCTCTTATAACCAACGGAACTCTTGTAAGCTATAAAATAGGTCAACTCAAAACAACAAGCCCCCTATAAGCTATAAAACGAGTCAACTTTGTATCCATATCCCTTGTATCAAAACACAAATCCCATACCTCTTGTAACCAAAGAGACAAATCTCACAATCGGAGAGACAAATCTCCCGTAATCAAGCCCTACAACCTTTAGACAAACCTTCATGAATCGAAACCCTATAATCCTTGTATCAAAGCAAGTCAACCTACACCTCCTACAAGCTGTCCCTTTGCTTCTACACCATTTTGCAATAACATGCAGAGCCAACACATCCAAAATAGGCAAACATGAGGCACATTTCGGAAAACATAAATTTTTTTATTTTTTTTATTTTTGCTCTGTTTATACGTAAGCCTAAAAAACTCGCCAACATGAACGAATTCAAAAGGAGAGTAGGATTTTGAGCATAAAAAGGAGGGAAATTGAGAGGCAATAAGGGAAATCGAATGAAATTTTGAAGGCAACTTGGAAAGGATTTCGGTAATTATAGCAAAGGAAGAAAAAAATTTAGAAAAAAATTATGGGAAAACAAAAAGGAAATAATTGAGAGGAATCATTGAGAGGCATAGTAGACCCAAACGAATTGCAAAGTAAGTTAGATGTTAGGATTCAAAGCAACATAAAAAGAATCGATACGGTGAAAATAATATCATTAAAAAATTGCTTCAAAACACGATAGAATCCATATAAAAACAACAAAGTCGGAGGATCCGATCGTTACCTCTTGTAACATAGATCACGTCTCTTGTATGAGGGATGCCCGAATCATGAGCATAGGTCAACAAACTACACCTCTATCCGTATCTACACGAATGTCTTAATCACTAGAATAATTATGGAATGGAGAGTCACCTCTAATAAAAGTGCTAGCTATGAGTTATGGTGTTTCAAGGCTAGATCACTCTTCCTCTCAAGGTGGCTAGGGTTTTCTCTTAAGGTTATTAGGGATTCTATCTCACACAATGTTCGTATATAAATAGATATTACGCGTTGAATGTATTTTACAACAACCAAAACATGTGTGAGCTATAGTCCTACTAGGAAACTAATTTCCTAACCCTAAGAAAGAGAAAATATAGGCTAATTATTGATAATTAATATCCAGCGACCTTGGACTTGGACTTCATTAAGCTCATTTTGTATATCTTAATCGAACCAACCCATTGGTGTAATTAAATACCATAATCCAAAACATATCGTAGTCTTACTAGAAATCTTAACTTGACTAGGAACCCTAATCCAATTAAGACTTTTTTATCATGCTCCAATTTCGAGTCGCTCTTTGTGTGTGACCCTATAAGTTCATATTATATTGGTAGTGATCTTAAAATCATAATTTAGAATCATAAATAGTGAGTAGCATTTAGCAATGCATCACTACTACCTAAGTAATAAGAATGTCAATGATTCGACATAACTTTGTTCGTGACATATGTTACTATATATTCTAGTCCCTTTGTCCTAGATGTTTAGATTAAATATGAGGCATGGAATGTGTCATCCTCAAATAGTTTAATCTTAGCATTTTTTGATATTTAAGCTGATTTTTCCAAACAAATGAGATCAATATCTCATATTGATTTATTTAAGCATGGTCGTGCATTTCATAATTTCACTAAATTGAAGGGCACATAGACATCACTCCTATTATACAAGAGGGAAAAATCCTATCTACATCACTTATATACCTCTGCATGATTCATGGTATATCAAACAACTAACTTTATAGTCCATCCAATTATAGATGATGTTTGATGGTATCAAAATATTTGACTCTTCATATAAGGAACCATAGTGACTTTAAGTTAAAGGACTACGTACACCATAGTCATAATGAGACCGAACTTATGATACTTACATAACGATCCACGTAGTGATCTTATGGTGAATTTTAGTACATGTTCTTTAACATGTACCCATATGTTGATTTGAAATCTCATATCCATAACACATTGTTATCGGTCCATACACATACCAATCTTAACACTTTATCGTTACCCTTTAATATATCCAAAACAAAAAACTTTAAACATTTAAGAATAATAATATTCTTGGGATTTTATCATGTTCATTTAATAAAATACAAGAATACATAAATAAAATAAATAGAATGCCTATATATATATATATATATATATATATATATATATATATAAGTGTATGCTAGTAAAATCAAATTATAATTGGCTTCTAGACCATACACTAACATAAGGGACTTAGGCTACTTACCGAACTAGTGAAAGAAGGAGATATTGGGGTTAACATCATCAAATTATCCCTTATATCTCCCGAGTTCGGAAGGACCTTGCTTCACCTTTTTAGAACAGTCACTACCTACTATTATTACACGTCCTCACTCGGGTTTTCTCAATCGGGCACCCAAGTAAGATTTCTCTTTCAATTTGTAGTCCAGTTTGCATCAATGTAACTCTTGGCAACTCCAAACAAATGATGGTAGTGATATTCATCATTACCATCCGGAAAAAAAACATCCAATTTTTTTCTCATTTATCATGTTTGATTTCGTAAGAAAGGAGACCTTTAGTGACTCACAAGGGTAAGGTTTTGGAGTTATTTGGTCAATTATAGGTTTAGGGTTAAGATTTTGGGTTGAATTGAGACATAGTTTGTGATTTAGGACTGGTTTGAAGTGTGAGACAAAACCTAGGTTTAGGGATATAGGAGATGAAGAAGAGAAATTAGATAGGCTAGGGGTTAGATTTTTGAAGAAGAATAAGAGACCATTTGAGCAAAAGGGAGAGGAGGGATTGGTTTGAACCAAAAAGCAAACTTAGGGTTCTAGGTTCAA